TGGGTCTGCAGGGTTTCTTGGGGGCAAAGTTTCACCCAAAGTCTTAATCTCTTTAATAAGTATTAAGCTACAGAGTTCCTTTCTTTTTCCTATTTAAGCACTGACACTGTCTTCCCAATGATAATCTTTTCATCAAATTTTCAAATTTATAAGCATACAGATGTTTATAACATTCCCCTTTTCAAAGTCTACCGGCTCTGTAGTCATTGTGCTCATGCCAAGTTTCTAGTATTGGTGATTTTGGCTTCTACTTTCAGAAACTAGACGAAGAAAAGTAAATAAAAACCAAAGTAAACAAGAGAAAGGAAATAATAAAGATTAGGACAAAATTCAGTAAAAGAGAAGAAGAAAAAACCCAACAATAGACATAATCAATGAAACCAAACGAGGTTCTTAGAGACTGACCAAGGTGATGGGCTTTATCTCACTGGGCCTGGCCCACCAGGAGTCCCGACAGCCTGCGTCTGTGCATGTTATCCTGATACCGGCCTGAACATCCGCTTGCAGCTGGAAGTAGGACGACTCTGGGCTTGTCTCCTCTGCACCCCCTCTCTCAGGATCACTGTCCTATGCGGTCTGCTGGCTCGTGGCTCATGTCTAGAGATGACTGTGCCACAATTTCTTTTCGGTTGGTGTTGGTTTGTTGTTTTGCTTTTTTTCTCTGGCTTTAAGGCAAGCAGGAAGGTAAATCTGGGAACTTTCTTGATAGTAACTGGAAAAAGATACTGCCCATCACTTGAATTGTTTAAATTATGTTGAAAGACTCTATCTACTACATGCAAAAAAGAGTACAGGGTGTCCTGCTGCACTCATGCATTCAGGTTCTTGCTGCCTCACTTGTCTTTGCCTCCATGTGCTATGAAAACCAATCTCATGCACATAATTCTTAACAATACAGATGCAAAATGTCAGGTGTAATTAACTGATAACTCCCCTGTGGGTACTGGCCAGCTCTGCAAACAACTGAGCCAATGTGTCTCAGCACTCCTGACAGGCTTATATGTTTGCTCTTTGAGTTCTCAGAACCAATTCTAACGTCCCACTGGCTCTCTAACTCATGACTTAACTAAAACATCAAGCCCTGATTCTTTTATATTTATATGAGAATCATGATCCTATCTCAACATTATAGTGACAGACTTTAAACAATCTAAGACCTCTTGAATTTTTAAAAAGACTAAAAAGTGTTGTCCTGACCAGGTAATAAAACTCAGCTCTGGAGCTACTGAACATATAATGTCGCTGTTGTTAAGTGTCGTCAAGTTGACTTCAATTCCTAGCAACCCTAAGAAAAACCGATCTGAACCCTGTCCCATTCTGTGCAGCTGTGGTATCTATTAACTGACATGGAAAGATTTTGTTTAAAAATGGGGAAAATATACAGATAGACCTGTAGCCCACCTATGGGTGATGCGGTCATCAGAGCAAGGACACCATCATCCCACAAGGTCACTGGTATGGACAGGGCTAACTCACGGATGACTGAGGTAAGGACTGCATCACCTCAGTGAGGGACAGTCACCTCACGAGCTCTGGGGTGGTGCAATGTCACCTCACGAGCCACTGGGGTGGTGATAACATCACCACACAGGACCATGGAGTGGTGAGGACATCACCACACGGGGTCACTGGGGTGGTGATGACAATACCTCACGGGGTCACTGGGCTGATAATAACATGTCACGAAGTCACTGGGGTGATGCTGACGTCATCTCATAAGGTCACTGGGATGATGCTGATGTCACCTGATGAGGTCACTGGGGTGACGCTGACGTCACCTCATGGGGTCCCTGGGGGAGTGGTGACGTTACCTCACAGGGTCATGGGGTGATGAGGACATCACCTCATGAGGTCCCTGGAGAGAGGAGTGGGCGGTCTCTCCTGAAGGTTCCTCCTGCTCAGAAGCCCAGAGGCATGATGAACTCCAGGCCAAGCCCAGCAAGGACTCCCGGACTGTGGCCTTGTTCCTAGGGTGGGGACAGCAGTGCTCACAGCAGGACAACTGGGCTCAGCACATGGCCACGGATGTGTGTGTTCGTGTGTGTGTGTGTGTGTGCTAGGGTGGGGACAGCAGTGCTCACAGCAGGACAACTGGGCTCAGCACATGGCCACGGAAGGCACTCTTCTGCTGCCCATCCAGAAACGCCCAGTCACGCATGGCCACTGAGGGCACGGCCACAGGACCTGCGTTTACTGTTTTGTTTTTCCTTCTTTAAACCGAAGAGCTGGCATAGTGACAGTGCAACACCAGAACCAGAGCCACGGACACAGGTGCCCGCATGGCAAGGCTGGGGAGCCCTGCTGGAGCCTGCGTGTGGTGTAGACACACCCACAGACCGAGGCAGGCCGGCCACTCATAAGGGCAAACCGGAGCCTGGGTGACAAATTGTCCTGAGCTAGTCCTATGGCAACACTGAGACCCTGTGCAAGTGCATGGCCCACTGCCCACTGCCCTGCAAGACAAGTGGTGTCGGCAGTATCCACCTCCCGCCCACTTGTGGGCACCACCCAGTCCTCAGTGACATCTCCTTGCCCCTGCCTGCCCCTCCAGACACCCGAAGCCTCTGCCTCAAATGGCAGTGGACACACCTTCCCAGACTCAGGTCTAGTTCTCAGGCCCCTCAGAAGGCTGCTCTGTGACTCTCATGAGACCCGTCAGCTTCCTGGTCTCTGACCTGAACACATGAACTCGCCCCACTTAGACGGTGTACATTACTGACCTCTGGAGCATTCGCATTTCCACACACATGTGCTCAGACAACACACGTGAGCAGCCCTTTGTTGTCTGAGTCCTGGGCATCTAGAGGGCCACGCCAATGTGCACAGGCTCTAGGGCCACCTCAGGCCAGGGGCCATGGAACAGGGCCTCCCTTGACGGGGAGGCATGGAGGTGGGGCCTCCAAGATCAGGAAGTGGGGTGCAGACACCAGGGACCCCCTAGACCTTAAGAGTGAGGATGTGGGCTTTCCTTCAACCTGAGGTCATGGATGATGGGGCCTCTAGACGAGGGACACAGGACCTTTCTACATGACTAAGGAGCTTGTGTCTGGGCACCACATGGCACCTCAGGGGACAGGCTGAAAAAGACTCAGACTTGAATCCTCCTGACAGCTAGGAGGGTCCTCACAGATGAAGGTGCGGGGCCTTGTGTAGTGAAGGAGCACACACAGACAAAGGTAAAAGGCCTCCTGTGGAGAGGGGGTCCATACAAAGGTATGCGGCCTCATTGAGGGGCTATACCCCAATGGTATGGGGCCTCACGTGGGGAGGGGCACATACAAAGGGGTGGGGTCTCGTGTGGGGAGGGGGTGCATACAAACAGTGTAGGAGTCTTGTGCAGGGAGGGGATGCACAGAAACAGTGTGGGGCTTTGTGCAGCATGACCGACACCACCAACACTAGCTCCCTGCTCCCCGAACCCTCAGGACAAGCCTGCTCCCAGGACCCTGACCAGATCCTGGCCCTGGCCCAGACCTGAGGCTTCACTGCGTCTGAGGGTGGCAGCCTGTTCCTCCCTGTAGTGGGTACAGAAAGCACATGCTGTATACAGAGAGTAGATGCCCAACAGAAGAGCAGGGCACAGCTCTGGTCAGAAGACACAGCCGGATCTGCTGAAGTTTCACAGGGCCCAAAATCCAAAAGCAGTGTCCGGACCTGCTGAGGCCCGGCCGCCCTCTCCCTGTCGCCCGCTCCCCGCCACCCACTCCCAGTTGCCCACTCTCCGCCACCCGCTCCCCGCCGCTACTGCTGAGGTGGAAGGAGCCTCCGCAGCCAGAAAAGCTGACCCCAGAGCTGGCCCAGAACCTTCTATGGCCAAGGAAGCCATGTGCTGTAGGCGCATCTTCAAAGGCAAAAGGCAGCAGCCACATGGAAGCTTTTAGACTCAACAGAGAACACACTGAACCAAAACCATCCCTGGCCATCTAACTGGCTCCGCGGGACCTGCTGGACAGAGAATGGCCACAGGTTCCCAACACGCTCATTTGTATGGAAGAGGACTTTGCCCCGCAGAGCCACCGGGGGCCAGAACCTCAAACCTTCAGGTCAATGCTACATGACACCAGAGACTGCATGACAAGGACAATGAGTGTCTCCAGTGACACTCCCCAGGGTTATGCTGATGATAACATTGTTTTCCGTGGTGGACTACAGCCCAGGAGGAATTACCAGGATGCGGGGGGGATGGGAGGAGAGGCAGTGCTGAATCATGTCTGTGGAGGCAGCTGCTCACTCTCAGAGGAAGATGGGGACATGGCAGAGGGGTAGGCAGGGAGCCAGGGCACACGGGAACAAGCAGCAGCTTTCAGATTCCAGATGGACTGTGAGGGACTCAGAGGGTCAGCAGCAAGATAGGAGGTAGGTGGGGAAGTGATGGTTGGCCAACTTCAAGATTCGAATTCCTGCAAGTTTTGGATGTGAGGCTTCCAGGAATTTCCAAAGCGGCCCAGGTGCCCTCCAGCAGCACACATCCCATGTCCACAGTGCCCCGTGCTCTCCACTATGAAGGTCTCACACTACAGCCGGACGATGTGCTGTCCAACTAGCCTTTGAGAGGAAACTGATGCCAGGCACTACATCCTAGAGACTGCTGGGAGAACCAGACACGTGGTCACTGCACAGAGGCCCTGGCCACACAGAGGCCAGGGGTGCAGAGAGGAGGGAGTTACACAGAGGGCCTGGCTGCACAGAGGACAGGGAGAACAGAGGATGAGGGTGCACAGAGGACAGGGGACACAGGGGACAGGGTGCACAGAGAATGGGGCACACAGAGGATGGGGTGTGCACAGAAGATGGGGCTGCACTGAGGACAGGGCACACAGAGGACGGGGTACACATAGGATGGGGTACACAAAGGACCTGGCTGCAGAGGATGGGGTGCACAGAGGATGGGGCACACAGAGCAGAGGACTGCACAGAGGCCAGCCACACGTCCAGCTGCAGTACTCACACGTCGCACAGGGACTCAGCCTGCAGACAGCCACCTCCAGAATGTTTCTCACCTGATAAAACTCCCGAAGCCAGTTCTTCTGCAGGTTTTCTGGCTGAAAAGAGAAAGGAAAGCACACATTAGACCCGTGTAACTCCCCCCGGAGAGCGATGAGCAAATCCCAGCGTGCTCACTGCGGCGAGAGCAGCACATGGGCTCGGCCGTGCCCGAGGAGCACGCCTCACAGGCAGACTCTCCGTCCCTGGCAGTGAAGCCACAAAGAGCTTCCTTTCTCAGCTGCAATCCTTTTAGGTGTCTATCAAATTTATCCCCAATCAAAAAAAAAAAAGGTGACCTGACAGAGTGTGGAAATTATATAACAATATCACTAATATCACACACAAGCAAAATCCTGCTGAAGACTATCCAAAAATGACTCGACAGAACATCATCAGACAACTACCAGAATGCAAGCTGGGTTTAGAAGAGGCTGTGGCACAAGAGACACTATCGTCAATGTCAGATGGATGTTGGCAGAAAGCCAAGAATACCAGAGGAATGTCTATCTGTGTTTCATTGATTATACGAAGGCATTTGACTGTGTGGATCACAACAAATTGTGGTTGACTTTGAGAAGAATGGGGATTCCGGAACATCTGACTGTGCTCATGTAAAACCTATAGTCAGACCAGGGAGCTGTCCTCAGAACAGAGCAAGAAAACACTGCATAGTTCAAAAGCAGGAAAGGAGTCTATCAGGGATGCATCCTGTCACCATACCTTTTCAATCTATATGCAGATCATACAGGAGGCTGGGCCTAATGAGGAGGAACATGGCATCAGGATTGGAGGAAGACTCATTAATAACCTGAAGAGGATCTGAAGCACTTGCTGCAGAAGGTCAAGACTGTAGTCTTCAATATGGATTGAAGCTCAACATCAAGAAAACAAAGATTCTCACCACTGAGCCAATTGGCAGCACCATGTTAGATGGAGAAGAAATGGAGGTTGTTAACAATTACAGCTTGCCCGGCTCCACAATCAACACTCTTGGCACCAGCAGTCCAGAAATCAAAAAACTAATTGCACTGGGAAAATCTACTGTCAGGGACCTCTCCAGAGTACTGAGAAGCAGTGATGTCAGTCTAGAGACTAAGATGCACCTTATCCAGGCCATGGTCTTCAAATTACTTGCTATGCATCAGAGAGCTAAACAATGACTATAGATGGCGGCAGAAGATCAATGCCTTTGAGTTATGGTGCTGGAGAAGAATTTTGAACATACCACAGATCACCAAACAATATATAGGTCCGTTTTGGAGATGGTGCAACCAAGTTTCTCCTTGGAGGCTAGGATTTTGAAGCTCAGTCCCACATACTTTGGGCACATAGCCACGAGGAACAAGTCTTTGGAGAAGGGCATCATGCTAGGAAGGGTGGAGCGACAGCACAGGAGAGGAAAACCCCAGATGAGATGGATTGATACTGGGGCAACAAGGGTAGGTGTGTGAGAGTTAGTGAGACTGGCTCAGGGCGGCGGGCCTCAGAGCTGTTGTGCAGAGGGCCGCTATGAGTTGCAGGCAACTGGAGGGCACACAGCAACAATGTGACTAAGTTCTGATTCAGACAGTGGACTGAGAGAGTGCTTGGTGAAGACTGCTGTGAAATTCTGATGACAGTGATAGCAAAGAGGGCAGGGGTGGCTTGGGGTAGTGTAATGAGAGACTGTAACGAGAGGACATGATGGGGTGATGGGTGACAGGACCAGGTGATATGACAAGATGATGGGATGGCAATTGTCAAGATAGGCAGTGGTGTGATGACATGAGGCCGCTGTAAGGGGCTGTGACACTGTCATTTACCTCTGTAACTTGCTACTTGGCTCAAGCCATCAGCTGACAGGAGAGCTTCCTTCCTGGCAGGGCTGTGCAGGCTCTATTTCTGTCTCTCATACTCTCTCTCTCCCTTGCCCTCACTCCTGCCCTCTTCTGTGGACTGGCATGCTGATCCGGGGACAGAAGCCTCTAGAAGCCCCAGGCTCCCTCTGTAAAGTGCTCTGAAGCACAGGAAGACAGAACTTTAGATAAAGAACAAAACCAAAGAACCTGATTGGGAACTGAAAGCCGTGAAGCCCAGACACCCTGGGTATCCTCAGTGTTCAAGACAGAGGAGGACCTCCCCCACCTGCTAAGGGGCAGTCCTGTCATGAAGACCAAGGTCCAGGCAGAATATGCACAGTTTCAGCTCAGCGCAGCCCCATTCTAGTCACCCTGTCCCTCCACACACCCACCTCCCTTCCTTATCCTCACACACAATCAGAACAAAGAATTAAAAAAACCCCAAATGGCTGATTATGAAACATATTAAGAAGGTTTGCACAGAATGGCCAATAAGCACCTGGAAAGATGCCTACTGTCACTAGTTATTGCTAGGTGCTGTCAAGTCGGAGCAGACCCAGAGCTGCCCCTCCTGCAGGTGTTCAGAGGCAGTGCATCGCATGGGAGGAGAATGTCCATCCTTCTCGCTGGTCAGTAGAGAAATGCAAATCAAACTGCAGGCAGAGCCCACAACACACCGGCAAGGACACAGCACACACCAGGAGCCAGGAGCCCTCAGGTTAGGGTCAGATGGCTCCTCCCACGATAACCCTGGAACCACTGTCCCAGAGCACTCTCCACATCAGCCAAGGGGAGACACTTCCCGTCCAGGAGCCCACAGAGTGGACCACACCCAGCCGTGCCGAGGGGACAGAGAGCAAACACGTACTCGAACATGGGGTCAGACACGGGAACACCTGAAAACTGACACAACAGGCTGCGTGTGGACACTCCCGCTGAACTGAGAAGCCCACCGTAAACCCAGGGCTGACCAGAGGCTGCGGAGGAGGACCAGCATCGGAGCTGCTGTGCAGTTTCTCTGGGGGCTGCTGGATACAATTTCTACAATTAAATGATGGTTATGTCCACATAACTCTGGGTGCATGCAAGTCACTCAAACCCACGCTTTAGATGAATTAACTACGATACACACATGGGTCATGTCATGAGTCAGTGCGTGGCTGCGGATCCCATCAGGCAGTGCGGCCCACAGCAGCCCCTGCGCTGGGGAGGACCCAGCCCACACACTTCCCGGCCACAGTGCCTATGGAAGTCAAGGACAGTCTTTCTCCCATGGTCAAACCTCCAACCTTTGGCCAGCAGCCGAATGCTTCATCACTGTACCACGAGGGCCCCGTACATTGTCCTAGGACTTTAAAAACAATTCCCTCACTAAAAACAAAAAAAGAGGGCAGGCCAAGGCAGGGCTGGATGGCCAGTGCCCACACTCTCTCATGGGTCACCATCAGAGCCAAAAACACTGGGAACTCTGGTGGCATGCACCCCAAAGGGGAGCAGCTGCAGGGACTCCCCTCAACAAGGAGGCCTCAGTTCCCAAAATTCATCATGGAGACCAAGCTTCAGTCCAAGCAAAAAGGCCCTGCCCACACAGGACGGAAGAGGGGAGTCCTTCCACAGGACCCGAGGCCTGTCTGTTTACTGCATCTAAGGAGTCCACTCAGGCTAGGGATTGTTAAACCTCAAATTAAACAAACAGAGGCAGAGAAGGCACACTGGAAAAGACAGTTTCCATCAGATCATCCCACAAGGTCATCCCCCAGCACGGTGGAGACAGCTGACCAAGTCCCTCTCAGAGGTGCCATCTTCCCATGGCCTCCAGGGCTCTTGTCCCAATGTCACCACCCCTGCCGTCTCTGCCCACTGCCATCACCCCTCTACTGAAGGCTCTGTTCAGCTCCATAAATGCCCTGCACATGGTGGTCCCCAGGGTGTGCGGGTCAGAGACATTACCAGGACCCCAGGTGTCAGCAGAGCCAACATGGTACTGTTATGCCTGACAGGACCCACAGGCCCATCAGGGCTCCTGAGCGGATGGGTCCGTCTTCTCACCCACACACATGTGCTCACAGGAACAGACAGTAACAGGCAAGACCATGCACCAGCACGTGTGTGTGCCCACCCACATGTATTAGTACTCACATGCAGATACGCGTGCACACGCCAGTACATGTGTGTGTGCACACGAATGCACTCCACCCACAGGGCAGCAGTGGCCATCAGAACGCTCCCCAGACTTCCACTCACAGGACAACCATTCATTAAAGGGAAGTACGTCCCGTCATAGAGAAGCAGAGTCTGATGAACTCCACATTCTCATAAACAGGATTTTCTTTCTCTCAGAAGAATCAGAACCACATGCTGTCTCTTGCTCCCCTGAAGCACTTCTCCAACGATGAGGAGTCCCTCCTGCTTCCAAGAAGCCACCTCTGCTTGTAACAACTCGGAGACGGTGATTGCAGTATGATGTCTGACAACAGAGCAGAGCCTAGCGCAGGACTGCAGTCCCACTCGATCGGCTCCCCATTGGGGCTCAGGGTTTTACAAAGACCCTTCCCGTCCCAGTGGGTTAGATCCACGTCAGTGGGGACAGACAGGGACCAGCCTCAATCTCCTCTTGCTTCATGTCACCAGACAGCAACATGACCATGGCTGGTAGGCGGCATGGGAGCACAGCCAGAAGCCTTCCAATTGCTGGCCATCAATTAGTCAAAAGCTTCCTTTAAACCACTGTCCTACACTCATGCTCTCTTTACTCCACAGACGGAATTAGCTCCAGTCAATGCAGCAAGCACACACAAGCACACAGGAGAACAAGAAGAAAAGCCGAGACAGGAGCTGTCCTCAGGCTCAGAGAGTCTCTCAGGTTGTCAGCAAACAGACGCCCGCAGGGGACGCACACCTTCACCTACAGCAGAGAAGGTTCTACAAACTCCAGAGAAACCCAGGAACAGGGAAATGTGTGCATGTGAATGCCAAATATGTGAAAACATAAATCCCTCACAGAAAATGGCCAGAAACCGACAATTCACCAGAGAACACAGGCCTACAGACAGAAAAGGGATTCACGTTCACAGTGACTAAATAAATACAATGAAACAAAAACTGCATTTGCCTATTGCTATTGTCTTTACTGCTGTTACACCACACACCACACCACAGCACATCACAGTACACACACACCACACACCATGTCACACACTACATCATGTTACACCACA